TTTACCAAGTCGGCACACTTCATTCCGGTTCTGACCACGTATAATTCAATGAGGTTGGCCCAGATTTATATTCAGGAGATAGTTCGGTTGTATGGTGTGCCTATTTCCATCATATCGGATAGAGGCCATCAATTTACTTCTCATATCTGGAGATCAGTACAGAGTGAGTTGGGGACCCGTGTAGAGCTCAGCACGGCCTTTCATCCACAGACCAACGGGCATTCGGAGAGGACAGTTCTGATCTTGGAGGATATGCTCAGAGCATGTGTGATTGACTTTGGAGGGCAGTGGGATATATTCTTGCCTTTTGCCAAGTTTTCTTACAACAAAAGTTATCAGTCCAGCATCGAGATGGCTCCATTTGAGGCTTTATATGGTCGGCGATATCGTTCACCCATCGGATGGTTTGAGCCCGGTGAGGCTAAGTTATATGGTACTGATTTGGTGAGGGATGCCTTGGAAAAGGTAAAGTTGATTCAGGAGCGACTTCGCACAACATAGTCCAAATAGAAAAGCTACGCGGATCAGAAGGCGCGGGATTTATCGTTTATGGTGGGCGAGAAGGTTCTCCTGAAAGTCTCGCTGATGAAGGGGATCATGATGTTCGGGAAGAAGGGCAAGTTGAGCCCAAGATTTATAGGTCCATTTGAGGTGCCGAGATGAGTTGGGGAGGTTCCTTATGAGCTTGCTTTGCCTCCCAGTCTATCGGGGGTTCATCCGGCTTTTCACGTGTCTATGCTTCGGAGGTATAATGCCGACAGGACGCATGTGTTAGACTTCAGTACGGTTCAGCTAGATGAGAGCCTGGGTTACGAAGAGGAGCCAGTTGCCATTGTTGATAGGCAGGTTCGCCAGTTGAGGTCCAAGAAGATTTCTGCGATAATAGTTCAGTAGAGGGGCCAACCAGTCGAGGAGGTGACTTGGGAGGCCGAGGAGGACATGCGGAGCAGATATCCACACTTATTCAGCACTCCGGGTATGATTCTAGACCCGTTCGAGGATGAACTTTTGTTTAAGAGGTGCTGAATGTAACGACCTGACCGGTCGTTTTGCTTTCTAGATCCCCGTTCCCCTAATTAAGACTTCCCGTATGTGCTTTTAGTGTTTTATAACTTGCGGAGATAGTTAGTTCGGGATCTGGAAGGGTTTGAGTTGAAATCGGAACACTTGGTTCCTTGGTTTGGCCTTAAAAGGCTAAGTTTGACTTCGATCAACATTTTGAGTAAACGATCTCGGAATCAGGATTTTTCGGTTCCAATAGGTTCGTATAATAATTTCGGACTTGGGCGTATTTTCATATCGGGTTTTTGATGACCCGGGAACGTTTCGGCGCCTAATATTGAAAGTTGGCATTTTGGGTGAATTTCATAAGTTTGGGTTGAAGTGGATTTTTACGTTATCGACGTCCGTTTGGTCTTAGGCGATTTTGAGAACATTTTTGGGAGGGGTTCAATCAACATTAAGAGATAAGTGATTCCTATCAATTCTTTAGCTAAGTACACGAATCATAAGTAGATTTAACAAGGTAAATGGTGGGATTTTGAGGAAAACCTAGGGTTTTGATAAAAAAAGGATTTAACCACAAAAATGGTTAGGGAATTGAGCAAAAATCCTATATTTGATTTCGTGAGGCTATGGGTAGAAACTTTCTTCGAAATGTTTTGGAATCCGGGCACGTGGGCCTGGGGATAAATTTTAGGAATTCTTCAATTGGGATTGGGTAATCACTTCAAAAGTTAGAAATTAGAATATGAACTTTTGAGTATGTATTGACTATTTTATATAACATTTGACTAGTTTCGAGTCGTTTGGCACCGAGTTGAGGGTTTAAAGCACATTTGTGGACCGGAAGTGAACTTGAGAACGAGGTAAGTCTCTTTTCTATCCTTGTAAGAGGGAAATCATCCCCTTAGGTGTGTTTTATTGTAAATTACTTGTGTGGGGAGCTACGTACGCACTAGGTGACGAAAGTCCGTGCGTAGCTATATTCCATGTGATGTCCAGGTTTACACCATGCCTTGTTGACACCGTTATTTGATTATGCTTATTAATTTTCTTGAATAGAGCTAAGATTGAAGATTTCAAGATTTAAAAGTTTCCAGTTTAGATTTCTTATTTTTGGAAGGAATTGAAGGATATTATAATAACTTTGAGAAATCTATGTTCACTCGCGTCGCAAGTATTTTTCGCGAGCGAGGTAAAACCACTACTCTCATGGGAGCGGATCGTTCGCATCGGCAGGTTAATAGATGCATCTATGATTTATTCCGTTCGACCCTCTGTAGTGTACAAAGTATATGTATATGTATTTTGGATCGGGTCGTATGTCCTCGGCATAAATCGTGCGTAACAATACTTGGAGCCCAATTATATTTGATATCGTTTTATTGGCTTGAGAGGTTAAATGGTTAAATGATGGAAAATTTATTTAGAATTTATTATCGGTGAAAGAATTATTTAATTATTTCTTGTTATTTAGTTTTCATTATCATTATCTAGCCCATGCGTAATAAAATTTTGATATTTTATTGTTAGCCCATAGTAAGTGTTGAAGTTGACTCCTCGTCACTACTTCTTCGAGGTTAGACTAGATACTTACTGGGTACATGTTATTTATATACTCACGCTACACTTCCGTACTACCCGTGCAGGATCTAAGGCAGGCACATCTGGTTATTATCCCGGCACGCACTTTTGATTACCTCGAGACTTTGCGGTGAGCTGCCTTCCGATCCCGTTCTCTAGCACCCGAAGTCTTTCTTTTGCTTTTACTTTCTTTCTATTTTAGTTCAGATAGTAGTGTAGTATTATTTTGTATATTCTACTAGTAGCTCATACACTTGTGACACCGGGTCTTGGAGATTGTGCTAGTAGTCAATTGGTGATTTTTTATAAATTACTTCATCTCATTTGTTTTTAAAACTGTCTATTTCTCAGGCCATTTAATTTTTCACTTCTTATTTATCCAATAACTAAAAAACAACAATTTCTAAATTGTTAAAAGAAATAATCACACGGTTAGTTCACTGTTGGCTTGCCTAGCGGTAGCGTTGGGCGCCATCACGACCTATAGGAGAAATTAGGTCGTGACAACATCACCCTCCCCTGAGCTTACCAATTACAATCCAACCACCAAGTAGAAGTAAGGATCCTGACTGCAGAATGCTCCCACTATGGTATTTTAATCAAGGTCATGTACTTGTTCAAATTGGCCTGGACAGTGCCTCCTAAACATGTGCTTCTCTGTAGAAATCCTTGTCTGGGCATGGCATTTTCTGGATTAAGTTGCTCCATGTCTGGTGTTCTTTTTGGCAAAAAATCTATATATTTTAGATTAGGAATATGCATGGAACGTTTAGGACATGGCTGCTGAGTTTTTATGCTTCTTCTTTAGTTACTAGCTATGACATCAAAGAGGAATATTTAGCTAACTAGAAACAAATGAGTTAAGTGAGACTTTTTCGGAAAAAATTAAGCTACTAGATACACTAAATTGGTAAGTTTAATTGATACTACTTTGTTTGAAGCGTCTAAATTTTCAATGCTTCCTAACTGAAATAACAACTTTGTTACATCTATCTGCAATTTGCAGGAAAAATATTTGTGATTTAGCCCATTGGATCAGTAAAAACAGAAGCAGATCTAGGGACTAGTTGGATTACTTGAATATATTTGAAATTTTAAGGTTTTACAAAAAGTTCGTTAAGCGTGCCTCCGATGTGCACAAAGCTCCGGGATATATTAGCTAAATCCAAGTAATGCACGTCATGACTATATTCTGAATTGAGAGTAGAAATAGAAGATACAAAACTCTACATATTGAATTTTTGATTGAAAAAGGAGGGATGAGCCCTCATAAGCTCCATCTTTCATCCTTGAGTGAATATGACTGATATCAAAATTTTTGTCAAACTTTATTCGTCATAATTTTCAGATAGCACATATGTTCAAAACATCTATTAGACACTGTTTTTGTTCCATTTTGAGATACAAATTATGATGGCAGAGAACATTTTTTCCCATTTTGACAACACTTTCTATATTCCTAATGAAACAAGCAACTAGCTATCAAAAGAATTTTTCTTCAATTGCTTTTAGTGGTTCTGGATGAATGCGAACATTTAGAAGTTTGGTTTATTTGATTTTGATTTGCTATTTACTTTGGCATCTTTATCTGCTCCTTATAATGGTGTCATGCTATGTTAAAACGCTTAAAAGGTAATGACTTTCTTAATCTTTTTTTGTAGGTGGAGAAAATGAAGAAAAGGAAGATGAAAGCAGTGAAGAATTAGACCTCACTTGAAAAGATTTTCAGATTTATAGTGAAACTCTTGATTTATTAGGAATCTTTTGGTATTAGACATTTTGAAACTTATGCCAACTACTGAATTGTAATATCTATGAACTTGAGCAAGAACACGTGTTACTTTTATGGATATTAATTACTAGCTTTTTGGATGATTTGGATTATTAATGTTATGAATAGTTTTATTTTGTGATTTATATAAATTGTAGTGTATTGATATTTATTATATACCTAAATGTTAATTTACAATTAGGGCTATATAATTATTTTAATATCCTACCGTTGCAATAGGCCATAAAAACCGTTGCAATAGTTGTCGCAAACCGACGCAATAGATTATGTAAACAGTCACAATAGGTATTGTAAACCGTTGCAATAGTTATCGCTACTCCATAAGAAACCGTAGCAATAGTAATTAAACCGTTACAGTAGCGTTAAAAAACTGTTGTAATATCTTAAAAAATCGTTGCAATAGCTTATATAACCGTTGCATAATATCATATGGTAACGATTTTGAACCGTTGCAGTTGATTGAAATACTTGTTGCTTCAGAAAGAGGAATAACTGTTGCCATATCTAAATGTGTAGAAACGGTTTTGGCAACCGTTGCCATAAGCCCATTTTCCAGTTTTGGAAAGAGCAAATCAGTTAGAACAGTAATTAAAACAAGAACATAACAGACCAAAGACACAAATAGGCACCATAATTTGTAATAATTAAATTACTAATCACCCATTTCTAATACTTACAATCAATTAATATACGAATATAGATATATGTAACCTCATCATACCTCATTAATAGCCAGCATTTGACTGTTGCTCTTCTTCATCTTCAAGCAATACAATTGAAAATACAATGTAGGAAATCAAATTAAGTACTATCCAACTCTAAAAAAGAAAGTGCCCAGAGGCAAACTACAAGCTACTAGCCAAAAAAATGCACAACAAAAAACAATCAGCAACGCAACTATAGATAATCAAACTAAAAGAAGCTCAAGGACTTTTCTGATGGACTTCAAATATACCCCAAATAGACCATATGTCATACATACCTTATCAGGAAAACACCAACTACTAAAATAAATTCAAACTGGTGAAAAACACAATTCGTAACATATTGAGCATAATTCAAAAGAGGAGTACCATGTTGACATAATCAAGATAAGAGCAATACCGTGAGAAGATGGAGTATTTTCACTATTACTATGATTCTGTTGCGTTTGTGGTACTCATTCATGACCACTGTTGGCATCACGGACCTGATCAATATTAGCACGTTAGATAACATTAATCTAATAAGACTAAAGTTTCAGCACAAAAGTCTTAGACTTTTGAATTTGAGTTGCCTGTCCAATTGAAATTCCATTGATATTCTGAGACATATATAACTCTCAAGGAGCAATTTTTCACATGACTTGTCTCATTCATGATAATTCATGCTTCATCGAACTCATTTCTTCACTTTGTTTTCTATTTAACTCCGTTAACTCTATTACCTTTGTTCTAACTTTTTTGCCTCATTAGAAGAATCATCTGGATCAATATTTCCTATGGAAGATTTACTACCCCGTAGTATAGAAGGAGTTGGACCAAGTACCAAACATCGAACACATCCACATTTTTCATTTCCCTAGACTTGAGAATATACATCTCCTTCCCAAGCAACACTCTGAGGTGGATGGTCATTTAGTCTCTCACTATTACTCCTCAATATTTCATTTATCATGTCCTGATTAGAGAGAGTTGTCAAAGAAAATAAAATCTATTCAGAAACAATAGAAAATTGCTAAAATAAAATACTTCTAAATTCGGATAGGTATTTTTGAGGAACTGAAGATGCAAAGAATATTGGTGAACTTGAATTTAACTAAAATAGATGAAATTCAAAAAATAAGAGATTGAGAAGAAATCTTTGCGGACTCCCCATCAAGTGGTCGACAATCCTTACGTTGTTTATGAGTTACAATAAAAATTTGTGCTCGTCCCATCAATTGGTCGACCATCCTTATGAAATACGATTAAAACATCTTTGACAATAAAATATTTGCCAAATAAAGGAACAAAAATCTCTTCCTAATCACTTCTGGTAGCGTAGCGGAAGATGGGGCAGGGAAAGGATAAGTTTAGCCAAAATTTTCAAACTGGCGTTTACCCTTAAATTGTATAACTTTGATTTCAATTTAGGTTTTGCCAAAGGGTATAAAACATACAGAAACACTACACAATCTAATAACAACCAAAATAAAATAATTCTACACCTATCTCCCATCCAAACTCTACAAAGATATTTTGGAGCAAAGAAAAGACAAAGAAGAGATGGAGAAGTAATAAAAAGGTATTTTCTAAAATATAGTACCTGGGGATGGTGACGCTGCGGTGAGACAGAAGTTCGGCGGTAGGGCAGCAATGATGAGAATTATAGTGGATGGGAGATTTGTATATTTCTAAAATATTTTCCTAAATTTTCCCAACTTAGGCAGAAAAAACTGGAGGGAATATGTTATTTTAGTCCAAAAATTTGGAGGGAAGAATAAAAATAATACTAGAGTATTTTTTATTGTGGCTATTCCTTTTTATTGCCCACTAAAAAGGTACTTACTAACGGTTGATGCTTATTTGCCACTAATTTTTTCGTTTATAAATTTATTTAGTTGCCATTATTCTATTGCCACTAATTAATTGCCACTAAAAGTCTATTTTGTAGTAGTGTAAGTCTAGAGCTACCGTGAACAAGAGGCAGCTATAATCGAAACGCATGTACATCTTTAAATCCAACTCTCGTCGATCACACCAACATCAGCAGCCAACATCTGCACGCAAGGTGCAGAAGTGTAATATGAGTACAATCGACCCCATGTACTCAATAAGTAACAAACCTAACCTTAGGTTGAAAGTAGTGACGAGCTGGAATATAGGTCGGAGTCCAACACCAATAGCCAACAACAGTTTATAATAACATAATGAAAGTAATAAAAGAAGTAATTCAGAGATAAAATGCTCAGCTCATTCACAGTTCCAGAAAAATAGGCCTGCTTTTCAAGTATATCAGTGAAACCCAAAACCATTACCGAAATCGCTAAAAATATGAGTAAGTTTGAAAACTGTAATTTTCCCAAATAGCTTTCAACATGTAAATGTTTTATTTTCAAGTGTCACGAGAAAAATGCATCTTTATGCCTATATGTCAATATGTGTGAGAAGTCATGAATGATGTGATACCGTACAACATGAGAAAAATGCATCTCTATGCCTGTATGCCAAGCGTGCATGTCAAATGTAATGTATCTCAGAGATGAACTTATGTACTCGCACTCTCAGAGTACTCAATCTCACTGTCTCACACTTTCCACTCATCATGCTCAATCACCCAACACGCTCAGTCACTCAGTATTGTATATGGCCAATCTAGCTCGGGGAAGATGCATCCCCAAATATAAATGATTCGGGCACTATCCATGCCCAGGGAAGATCAATCCCTCAATATGAATCAACTATGCTCACTGGGGGTGTGTACAGACTTCGGAGGGGATCCTTCAGCCCAAGCGCTATAATAAGCCAGATCCGGCAGAAACAAATAAGAACATGCTGCGATGTACAACCCAATCCCATAATATCACTCACAATCAAGCCCTTGGCCTCACTCAGTCATCAATCTCTCCAGTCTCTCGGGCTTACAATGCCATAAAACTAGCCCAAAATGATGATATGATGTGTCAATAAATAGCAACAGAGACTGAGATATGATATGAAATGAATAACCATGACTGAGTATGAAATTATAATGTAAGAAAATAACTCAACATCAGAAATGACATTAGCGGGTCCCAACAGAATAAGCATGAAGCCTAGACATGGTTTCTAACATGGATCATAGTTCAGTAGCTCTAGTACGTAGAGATATCATGGTTACAGATAAGATCAGGTAACTACACAGTACCACAAAAATTACGGAGTCATAATTCACATGGTGCACGCCCACACGCCCGTCACCTAGCATGTGCATCACCTCAACACCAAAGACATAATACGTAATCCGGGGTTTCATACCCTCAGCACCATGTTTAGAAGTGTTACTTACCTCGAACAAGCGAAATATCGTACCCATCGAGCCAAGCGATGCTCTAAAAATGTCATCCCGCGTGTACCGACCTCCGAACGACTCGAAACTAACCAAATAAAACTCAAATACATCAAATAATACCAAAGGAAACAAACACAATCAATAAAGGTCGAATCTTTAATCAAAATCACAAAATCGACCAAAAATTAAAACTCAGGCCCGTGCCTCGGAACCTAACAAAACTCACGAAATCCAACAACCCATCCACTTACGAGTCGAACCATACTGGTTTCACTCAAATCCGACTCTGTATCGATGTTCAAAACGCAAAAATTTACTTTATCAAGTTTTAGATAAAACTCCCAAATTTCACTTTGAAATCATCAATCAAATGCCAAAAACGAAGATGGATTCATGAAATATAACCAAAATCGAGTATAGAACACTTACCCCAATCCATATGGTGAAAATCACCTCCAAAATTGTCCAAGCTCCCCAACTCAAAATATGACCAAATAAACAAACCTTCAATATTAAGTATTTTTGCCAAGCTATTCTGCCTCGTTTTGTGTGCCAAACAATCCCGAAACTCGCTTTTGATGCCTCCAATGAATATTTCGTAAAATTTCAGTCAAGTTAGGCTTTTGAATCACTCCATTTAACCTCATAATGATGGAGATATGCTGGTTTCAATATTTGAAAATAGTGCAGATTTTTAAATACGAAGTCAGTGGCAATTTCATAATTAATCCGAAAAATCTGGCAACCCAATTCTTAGTAAAATGACCATGATTCTTTTTGCTATGGCTCCACAATTACAATACGGATCTAATGCTTCAATCAAAACAGAAATTAGAACTCATTTGTTTAATGTGGTACCATTTATACTTGAAGAAACGACGTCGAAACATAAGAAAGCGCCATACAACCCAAACCTATCTGAAACTCACCCGAGCCCCTCGGAACCCCGTCCGAATATATCAACAAGTCCCATAACATAACACGGACCTACTCGAGGCCTCAAATCATGCATAATAACATCGAAACGATAAATCGCACCTCAAATCAAACTTAATGAACTTTCGAACTTTCGACTTCCAAATATTCGCGCCGAAACATATTAAATCAATTCGAAATGAACTCAATTTTTGCACACAAGTCCTAATACATCATACGGAGCTACTCATGTCCCCAAACTACCGAGCGAAGTGTAAATGCTCAAAACGACCGGTCAGGTCGTTACATACAGTTATATTTGACTCCTTTTACTAAAGGGTCCACACAGTGATACAGATATATGATCTTTTCTTTGAAACCTCCCGAACATAAAAAAATTGCTAGACATAGTGTTTACCGAGTTTATTACTGATTTGTTAAATTGATTTCTATTACAGAAAAAACATGATGAGACTGAAAAAGTATTTATTGTTTTTAAGAAGGCATTCTTATGATATTTTTTGTTTAATATACTAGCATATTTTCTGACTTGTCCCCCAAAAAAATGGTTGTGGTTAAGTGTTATTACTCATTGTGCTAGTGACTCATTCCCCGCTATTTTTTTTACAGAGATAACAGTTGATGCAGGCGAGGATTCGTTAATTAGAGCGCACAGGTTGATAGTTCTTGATAAGCCTCGCACTTGTTCGACTAGGCGGAGATTTTATTTATTGATATGGTCTTTTCTTGGGACTCTTAGAGTCGCTCCATAATTATTCTTTCAGTTTCATGAGTATTCTTTTATTATTATAGGCTTATGATGAGTATTGCACTTTCTTATCGAATTTGGAGATAAATTAGTATTCTGATTGTTAGTGGGTTGATTATTAATGGTGGAGACTTGTTTTGGTTAGTTGATAAGTTGTTAGTTGGTTGGTTTGATATTAGGATGGTTGGTTACTGATTTTGAGACATGAAACTTTTTGGATAGTTGATAGTAGGCTATATAGTTGATATTTACACCTTAATTGCTCATGCTTTGTTGTTGTTTTATAAGGTAAATTGCCAACTAAATGCTTTAAATAGTGTTATTTGATTTCGCAGGGAATATTATATGTGAGGAAGCAACATGAAGCGTTTGGAGGCAATAATGTGAAGAAAACACCCACTCAAGAAGTACCCGAACACAAAGAGCAAAAGAAAATGACTGTCGCGGTGGACCGCGGTGCAAAGCGCGGAGACAAAACGAAGAAAATAAACGAGGCAGTGTTCACCGCGGTCGACCGCGGTCCACGCCGCGGCCGCGGTGAACTGTTCACGTATCTGAAAATTGGGGGCCAAAGTGTCAATTCGGGAAAACTTTTGTAAAACCCTTATAAGCTATAGAAACTCGCCAAAAATAGTTTAAGCTTGTTTTTGAGATTACTTTTGGAGGAAGAACAAGTGTGAGAGATCACCCAAAATATTATAGTTCTTTTATCTCTTTTATTTTCTTGCAATTTTGCATTATGAATAATCTAGTAGTTTTATCCTACGTTTTTATAAGTAGCTAAATCCTTTGTCTAGGGTTTTGATGGAACCTATTGAAGGATGAACTTCTTGATTATGTTAATATAGATTGCCAGTTTAATCTCTATTTGTTCAACTACGTGTTTGTTGTAGTTAATTGACAGGATCCTCAATTAGTTGTGCCTATTTAGTGTGCATAACTCGGGAGAGAGTGCATATTTAGCTAGTTGTTGAACAACATCACTCCCAAAGTATAAGAGGGATCTATAACTGCGGGTTTAAAGGCGGGATTAGGGATAACTAAGCCTTGGGTGCAATTTAACGTGAGCTGTAATAAACTAAGCTAGCTAGCGTATCTCGAGATAGTGCATTTAGTAAATTATTATAATTACTCGGGAGAGATTCACAGTAAATAGAGTGCTCATGATTGATAGAGATATGTTGGTTAATTTATATGAAACATAACCGGAAGTGATTCCGATCAAATAGGGGAAATCATAGTCTTAGAACCTTCTCATAATTGTTTACAACTCAAGCATATTTAGTTTTCAGCTGTCTATTTACTTTCAGTCTTAGCTATTAGTAATACCATCAACTGTGATTTATAAAGTTTGGGGAAGTTGATTCCATAGAATTGAGTACNATTAATGGGCGACGAGCTTACAATCGAAGAAGAAAAAACCCTTAGCGGTTTTACACCTGAACACGATAGACGCTAGAGTGTAGCGCTTAGCTTCAAGGGTTGAATCTTATTTAAGTGCCTTAAAAATTGTATGTTTGTACCTAACTTGAACACTCAAAAGAGAATGTCTTGATAAACTAATCCGGAGTGAGTCATGTGCCATGTGTGTGTGAGTGTTACTGTATTCCATGCTGTACATTTGATGCCTAGAACTTGCCATGTGTGTTTGCAAAGCGAAATAGTAGCTTCATTCAGTTTTAGAGGTGATATAGGCATTTCTTTGTTGAGCCAGACATATAAAGTAAACCCACCTGAATGCATTAC